AGGTAACATAGTTTCGTAAAATATATAACAATAATATTACTAAACAATGAGTTGTTGCATTTTAGAAAAATTAGAAGCACTAAATTAAATTATGAAAAGGTATCATGTATTTGTGAAATATCCAAAAGTAGAAAACAATTATTCTAACCTATTATTATTGAATATTTCACAAATACATTAAATTAATATCATTTTCATAATTTAATTTAGTGCTTCTAATTTTTCTAAAATATAATAAATAATTGTTTTGTAATATTATTGTTACATATTTTACGAAACTATGTTATCTGATACTGTTAATTCTTATACATATACTATCCGCTATACTACCCTAACTCTACTCTACTCTACTCGATTTATCGGACAGCATTGAGTTGTCATAAATCTTGAAAATACTAGATGCTTGTGCCTATCATATTTCTCGGCCCTAGTGAAACTAACTCGTACTTAATCCAACTCGAATTATCGTAAACAGCCTCTATTAATACTGTATATTACTCCTAAGAAAACTGTATTCATTTTCGAATTCGTATTATGTAAGGGTCGAATAGGCTTAGTACCTAGTACACTTTTTATACATCCTTTATTCCTAATAAAAAAAAAAAAAAAATTGAGGTCGTGGTACAACTCAACAACGGATCCGACATATCTTCACATTTCAAATAGTACTACGGCGGGTTAGAAACTGTTTAACTCCACCCTGAAAAATTGACGAAATTCAACAGATTGTAATTTCAACAAAAATGACGACATTAAGATTGTTCGAACAGCATTTTGCAGTTTAAAGTCTTTATTTTAACCCATATTAATTTCATAATTGCGCTGTTATTTTGTGCTAAGTTATGACAAATTAAATGAGAAATGGCAACCATTTGTTGTAAAAATGATTTCTATCCAAAATTTGATCTTTAAAATAGGAAGATTCGTATTTTTAGCTTAAACTGCATTATATATAAGTTTTTATTGCGATAACTTGATAACTTCATAATACATTTTTTTATATTTTACGGACATTGATTCACATTCATGTAGCATTCTAACAAATAAGTTAACTTTATACTCGACATCATATCTGAAAAGTGGAAATTTTTCGAGTTGCAAAATTTTCAAGCTGTAAAAATTTAAATTGTCTCGTTACTATAATTTTTTGCGGAAGATAGTGTCTGTTGACGTTTGCCGAATCCCGTAATCGAGAGAAGTGATGTTTTAATCTTCATATATATAACAAAATACATAATTACTAAATAATCATTTTTATTAACAAGACACGTGGAAATTTGTGAGAAATGTTGAGCAATGTATCGCTTTCATAGTATGCAGATTTATTTCAATAGAGGTTACATTTTATAACCACGCATGTATTTTGTTGCAACGAGATAATGTGCGTTTGACCAATATATTGCTGATACCTTCAAGATTGCAAGAGCATAATCCAATTATACGAGAAGTAAACATAACGATAACCGCAAGATATATTTACATATATCTATAAATACATAATCACCTGCAACAGCCCGTTAAGTATTTATCATATTTATCGTTTCAAGTAAAGCAGATAACCCGATAGCGTTTGGCACTGCTTTTGATTTTCAAGCATCCCAGTAAACATGCATGTCTAAAAGATGTCGAAAAGATATCTAAAAGACGTCTTATGCAACAAAATGTTGCATAAGATATCTTTTAGATATCTTTTCGATATCTTTTAGACATGCATGTTTACTAGGATGTTTGTAAAAAAACTTTTTAAACTTTTAGGTTTCGTTTTATCCACGATATTATTCTACTATCTAGGATTTGTACGTCGTACGATCAATTATTGGGAAATGTCGAGAATCCCTTCAAACATTTCCATAGTTTGATAAATAAGCATATTAAGTTAATACAACCTTAAGGTAGAATTTAATTTAGGATAAAATAATGTAAGTTGCAAATTATTTATGAGGTTATTTTATAAACCACTGGTATGTGAAAAATTAAAATAAAAATCAAACAATTTTTATGTAATTACGACATATTTCTGTTACACTTAATTGTTATTTAAACTTTTGTGTTAAAATTTGTTTAAAAGAAATATTACGATGTAACAATCAGCTGTCATGCATGTGTTTTATATAACTTGTAACATCTAATTTGCAGCATCTGTCGATTATTATTATAATATTTCTTTTTACTATTGTCTGTAATATTACAATATTTATTATAATATTTTTGTTAAACAAACTTTACGATAAAAATTTGCACAATAAGCTTTAACAAATCCATTATAAAATTATAATGGAGATAACGTAACAATATTTATACATTTACAGGTACAATGCACTTATATATGAAATGTATTAAATAGATAATCGATAATTGAAATTAAAGTATCATATGTATAAACATATAAAAGTGGCAAATTTATATGACAAACATAACAGATCTGTGATATGAAATGATTTTTATGAATTATATTTATATTATATATTATATATTATATATTATTTATTTTATATTATATTTATGAATGTTTTATATGAAATGATGTGTCACATAAATAGATTGCAACTTATATTACTTTGTCCTAAATTAAATTCTTAAGATTATGCTAATATGCTTAAGGTTAATATCCTTTCAACATACTTAAGGCTATGTTAAATTAATAATCAATAGATAGTACAAATTGGACGTTACAAATTATATAAAGGAGCACATACACGATAGCTGATTATCAAATGTTGACGTATGGAAAGTTTGGCGGATGCTGGGGAAGGCGACAAATAAATTCCTTATTTGGTATCTCTCTTGTACAAGACTTTGTACACGTCATACCTCATTTTTAATTACATTGTAAAATGACACCGATTTTTTACAAATGGAAATAATGGAATAGAGGAGAACAAAAAGATCTTAGGGTAAATACAAGTCTCGTGAGAGATAGATTCGAAGGCTCGTTTATTTTTTATTAGGACAAGAGAAATTCGTCATGTAACGTTACAGAGAATCGCTTTGGCTTATCCAAGGGAGAAGAGTGTTCAGATCGAATGGGGTAGCCGCGTTCTAATAGAAACAAAATGGAATTAAACGAAGAAGATAGGAGGGAAGAGGTAAAGCGAAAGCGCAACTTCATATTCTGTAATTGGTGATGCAACTGTGCGCTTCGACCAGAGGAATCATTATCGTCGCTTAACCTTCGATTAGCTTCAATGATCCATCCGAAATAGCAGGGGATATCGCGCGCAGACGGCGAAATCTTGCAGTGACGGTAGGTCAGGGGGTCGCCGATAATGTCTTTGTTCGATATGGATTTTGGTATAAAAGACTGCACCGGCCCGACAGACGGCATGCGGCAAGCAGCATTGTATCACAATGAGGTGCGCAGTCGTTCTATTAGCTCTAGCAGCTTTCGGGGCAGCCTTACCCCAACTGCCGAAACAACGGGCTGGTAAGTGTAAAACCCTCATAACGGAGGACTCTGTCCTCTGGAATCGAATAAAGTTTTATTTCTCTTCTTCTTGACTCTCTGCTCTCTCAGAGGAGCATTTCAAAATTTTACCGCGGCCTTTGTCGACTTGCTCTCACGCTGTTAGAAACTGCGATTGTTCACTCAACGGATTTCGAACGATCCCGGGAAGAAATCCAAAGAGAATTGTATACACAGAAAAATATCATTATATTTCTAGCAATCTAGCAATTTACTTGCCTGCTTTTAAAAGTAACGTTTAATAAACTATATTTCTTTAATAATAGTATAACTATACTTAAATAATAGTATAATTATATTTTTTTATAATAGTCCCAGTGAGAAATAACTTATCGATCGACGTCGAAAAGACGTCGAATCGATGTCTATTTGATGATTTCGACGTCGATTCGACGTCGATCAATAGGTCATTTCTCACTGGAGTCTGAAAAATATATTTGTTATAAATATCAGAAAAGTTAATTATCGTGTATTGAAAAGAAGAATCTATTCCCTTTACAAGAATATCATAAGGCTTTATCGAAGAAAGAATTGGCTCAAGGCAGTGAGCAAATCGAATTTCTGTCATAACTTTCTCGGTTGAAATTGTAAACTTACTAGAATTCGGAATGTAGTTCGAATAAGTTTGATACTTATAATAAAACTTATGGTGAATTTGCGAATATGTAAACTTATGAAACACTTGAAACAAGAGTGCAGCATATATCTTTCTGCGTGCACTTCGACGATTGATTGATCTTTTCTTCGCTCCTTTCCCAGCTGATCAAGAGCTCCTGAAGAAACAGCAGGATTGCATTCTGCTGTTGCAACAGATCACTCAACCGATCCCGAACGAACAACTGCACATCCTCGGCACCACCTATGACATCGAGAGCAACTACCATCATTTCGAGAACCCGATCCTCGTGAAGTACTACGTCGGCGCTGTACGAGCTGGCCTGGTTCAGCCCAAAGGCACCGTCTACTCCAACAGCGTCAGCCAGCTTCGCAAGGAGGTTTCTCTCTTGCACCGAATCTTACTGGGTGCCAACAACTACAAGACGTTCTTGAGCTTCGCCGCATGGGCTCGCGTCCACGTCAACGAGGGACAATTCCTCAAGGCTTACATCGGGGCTGTTCTTCAGCGTCTGGACACGCAAGGCATCATCTTACCGCCTTTATATGAGATCGTTCCTAACTACTACTTCGACTCTAGGATCATCCAAGAAGTTCAGGACGTTATCACTCAACAGCACCAGAACGTCGGGCATTACACTTACGTGCAAAATGGCCAGTCCCATGTTGTTATTCCGGTCAACTATAGCTCGCATTTACCTCATGGTGAACATCAGCTCTCCTACTTCACGCAGGACGTCAGCCTTGCCAACTACTACGGCTATATGAACCTCGCTGGTTACTTGCTGCATCAGGTAATAGAGTTGGTCAGATTTATTACGAGTCAGATAATACAAACGGGGTTGCGAGTAATTAAGAACATTTTTAATTAATCATCGTGTTTAATTGACGATCAGTATGTGCTAATTCAATTTGAGACCGTTTAACTGACAATTAATTTCAGCAAATTTTCGATGAAATTTGTTCATATCAATCTTCAATTGAACAGTCTTCGACTGATTTAATTAATTATTATAAATTGAGAAAAATTTAATTGATATTTTTACAACTTTGAGTACAAAACGTCTGGGAATCATTCCGAGCGTGTCCAGGATGCTCTAGGAAGTGTTTTATAGTGTCTTGAGTACATTCGAGATGATCTCAGGATTGTTTTGTGCTACCCGGGAAGCCACGAGACAACGAGATATCTCGCGAAATTGATGTCTGCGTCATGTATTAAAATTCTTTCAAATGCAATTGCAGTACAGTCCGCAGCAGACCCCGGTCCAGTACCAACAGCAAATCCCCCAAACTAATGAAGGTCAGAACGGTCAGGGATCCCGTTACTACTACCTTCACCAACAACTTTTGGCCCACTACGAGCTGAACCGTCTCGGAGCTGGACTCGGCCCGATCCACGATACTGACTACGTGCACGTAAAGGCGCCGTTCCAGCCGCACCTCCGATTCACGAGCGGTCTCGAGTTCCCTGGACGTCCTGAATACCTCGAGCTGTCTTCCGTGAAGAGCAAACTTATCAGGACCGTGAAGCTCCTCGAACAAAGATTGATCAACGCTATCGAGTCTGGATACATTCTCACCCCGCAAGGCACTTTCCTCTCTCTCTATCAGCCGCAAGGTTTGAACATTCTTGGAGAAATCATTGAGGGAACCGGCCGCAGCATCAACCCGAGGTGAATTCTTTCGTTCGACAATGTCGTACGTCATACTATAATGGCGACAGTCTGATCTCATTATCAATATGACCGAATTTATACAACGACGTGTCTGTTCCTATTACAGGTACTACGGTAGCTTCCAAGCCGTCGCTCGTCAACTCCTCGGCAACGCTCCCGAGGTGCACAACATCTACGACTACACGCCCTCCGTCCTTGAGTTGGGACAGGTCGCCGTTCGTGACCCAGCCTTCTACCAGCTGTACAAGAAGGTCATCCACTTGTTCTATCTTTACCAGAGCTCTCTGCCCGCCTATCAGCACAACGACGTTCTGTTGCACGGTGTCAGCATCCAGAAAGTCCAGATCTCTCCACTCGTGACCTTCTTCAACGACTACTATGTCGATCTCGAATACGCTACCACCAATAACGTGGAACAACAGCATCAGCAACAGATCACGAAACCGCACATTCAGGCACAGCTCAAGAGGTTGGATCATAGACCGTACGAATACTCCGTCACCATCCACAGCGAGAACAACGTACTTGGCGCTGTTTTCCGCGTCTTCTTGGGACCGAAGTATGACTACAACGGCAAACCCATCAGCATCTCTAAGCACAGACATCAGTTCGTCGAGATCGACCAATTCGCAACTGATCGTTAGTTTCCTGATCTAACCTACTGAGCGTAACGATTCGTTCTTCTTCGGCAAATCGAAACTTGTTCTTTTCGCTTTACAGTTCAGCAAGGACAGAACATCATTAGCAGGAACTCCCACCAGGCACCAGGCCGCAGCTTCGACTACCCATCTGTTCAGGAAATCAAGCAACGTGTTAACAGCGCTATTCGCTCCCAGGAGCCATTCTACGTCACCGAGGTGATTGTTGTATTAATTTTTTTCATAGAACATTCGTGACTGTCTCGAAAAGCAGCGAAGTAACTAAATTATATAAAATATTTGTTCTCGCAGCCCCACCAGGTCTACGGTTTCCCAGCTAGGTTGACTCTTCCCAAAGGTCACCCTGAAGGATATCCTCTTCAATTGTTGGTCGTGGTCTCTCGACCCGGACAGCAGAACATACCCTACGGACCAGTAATTCCAGAGCAATACCAGACCTACCAGCAGAGCGAATATCACGTAGTCAGCACCGAGGATTATCCTCAGCAGATCCAACAGCAGAGCGGCAAGGTAGTCGGCGCGAAACCGATCGTGGAAGTTGTACCTGAAACCTTGTCGATCGGCCAGCAACAAAGCCAAGGTGCATTATCCACGCCAGAAAAACGCAACCGTTCGTTATTAAATGAGACCAAGCGAATAAGTCATTTATTGTTTACAGCCGTGAGGAACCATTACGCTAATATCTACACTCATCAACACGGACAGTACCCATACACGCACACCCAATACCAAGTCGGCCAAGGCCAGAACGTATACGGTGTACAGGGTCAGCAGTACTACGGACAACAAGGACAAGTCCAACAAGGACACCAGACGCACCAAGGACAGCAATACGTTCAAGGACAACAGCACTATGGACAACAATACGGACAGAGCCAGGGTATCTACCAGGGACAACAAGGACAGTACGAACAGTACCACGGCCAACAAGGCAAGGTCGGAGTCGTAGGAGTCCAAGTACCCAGTGGCGTACAAGGAGTACATGGAGTACAAGGAGTACATGGAGTACAAGGAGTACAAGGAGTACAAGGAGTACAAGGAGTACAACAGAGCGGAGTACAGGGAATTCAGAGCGGCGTATATAGCGGCACTCAACAAGACAAATACCACGTCACCTACCAAGGACAGAGCCAACAAGGACAAGGATACGGCGCACACTACTACGGTAGTGGACAGTACCACGCCGGCGGCTACCAAGGCATTTACCAAGAACGCAAGGTTCAAGAAGGACATGTGAGCGAATACTACCAGAACAAGCATATCTCCGAGATCATCGGTGGTGCGATCTCACTCGACGGCAAACCATACGGCTACCCGTTGGACAGACCGCTGACCCCTGGTGCTCTCTATGTTCCCAACATTCACGTTCAGACCGTCTACGTTTACCACGAAGGACAACCCATCAACGAGATATATCAGTAATGTGTTCCTACCAGACCAGACGCGGCATCGCGTAACGTGGCGATGCCACCGTCGAGAGCTATTCACTATTTTTTCGTTCAACGATCAAGGAAAGTTTTTTATCGATGTGTTAAAGTAGCAAATGCAATTAATAAATTGCCCTAAAACGCACATGTCTCGAAATCAACTTTTCTCTTTCACTCGCAGTCTCTGTACCGATTTCTGTACACCTATCCTATCAACATGAAGAAGAAGATACTTGAACATCTATTTGTGGGATATAGAGTTTATTCGCAGAAACAAACTTTTTACTTTCCACAAGTAAATTTTCGAGTATTTTTTTCTCAGTAAACGACAAGCGCACACGACGAGTCAGGATTAACGCAATGAACAGACAGCCTTTCTTTCCTTTTCTCTCTCCCCCGCGCAAGTATAAATATTTTATTAGGAAATACTGACTTCTCCTCTCTCTCTTTTCCCCAGCAATCGATGCAGATCCGCCGTGACACCAGCGTGACTCGTCGTAGCCGCTCATTGCCACCGTCCAAAGTGCACGCTCATTCTCCAGTCATCATCTCCATAAATTCTGCGAACGAATCAATCAAGCCGTCAATTAAGGCTGCGGCGTTAATTGCGCGATTGTCGTGTCGTTGATTGCGCAACACGTTACGTACCGTCGAAGTCCACCGTGCCGGAGCCGTCGGTGTCGATCTCCGCGATGATCCCGTCGAGGTCGGAGCTGGTGAGCTTGTCGTCGAGCGCCGCCAGGATCTCCTTCAGCGTCGCCGTGGTGATGTATCCGTTACCCTCGCGATCGTACAATCGGAACGCCTCCTTCAGCTCCTCCTGCATCGCCTCGGCGTCCTCCTCCTCGAGGAAGCGACCGGCGATCTTGCAGAAGCCGTCGAAGTTCACTTTGCCCAAGCCCTCAGGGTCGTTCTCCTCGATCAGGGAGTTCAGCTCGCCGTCGTCGAACAGCTGGCCCATCGTGTTCAAGATCGTCGAGATCTTCATGGTTTCGATGAAGCCGCTCTTCGTCGTGTCGAACATCTGGAAGGCCTTGCGCATCACGGCCATCTTCTGATCGTCCTCCTCCTATGGGCGTTCCATATACGATTTTCAAAATGTCACAATGCGACATTGTGCTACGATACAATGTTCTAATTTGCAATCAACTATGTTACGCGAAAGAAAGAGTCCCGAGAAAAATGCGAAGGTCTCTCCGGTCTCCCGAATAACGTTTCACGTTATCCGGGAAGTGCTCTTAGATAACGGTTTTACATAACGTTTCGTGACACTCGCGATTTTTCTTTCTATTCACGCAAAGTTAATTGAACAATTTTTTCTTCCGACGAATGAGCAAATTACTGGCCGGGTTTGTTTTTTTACGGTCTTACCATGTCGATTAATGAACGGGCTTTCGCGCCGTATTAGGCAAAGTAACCGCGACTGGCGAACGACGGACGGCGGACGACGGACACTTGGAGAGAATCGGTTCTTCCGTCCCGGTATAAAGACTTCCTGCGCGTCTACTAAACCAGCTAGAAAGCCAGTGGACACAAAAATAGAGCGCACCGGCGAAAAATGAAATATGTTATAAGTGAGTACCGCACGGCTTCTCCACGCCGTCGTCTTCGACGTCGTCGTCATCGTCCACCCGAAGGTCGACGTTACATCGTGACACGCGTTCCAATTAAGTCGACAATCCGCTCCGGCAATGCGCATCAGTTCCGACAGAGTCTCCTCGTTCTTCCGCATCGTGCAAAAATAGTCTGCGCCCCACAAATGTGTCAACTTTTCTAATCGTTTCTAATCCCGCCATGCTTACATCATGAGTATTGCGAGGAAACGTGTCCTCGCTGACGCCGTCAATATATTCTTCCGGCCATTATCCGATATACGGACACATCTGTCGATGTGGGTGACGCTTGGCGCGTTCTATCGCGCTGACGATAAAGTTATTTCCAAAGTACCGGATTATCGTCACGGGCGGACAATGCACGCGGAAAAGGCTTAAAATTAGCACATTTATGTTTTCGTAGTATCTATGAATGAATTCGCGCACTCTACGTGGAAAGAAAGCAAGAAGAAGAAGAAGAAAAATAGAACGGGGAAGAAAGCAAGAACGGGGAGAAAGCAAGAAGTAGAACAAGAAGATGATGATGACGATGAGGTGGCAACGATGTCGAAGTCATCATCTCGTAATTTGTTGCGGTCCTTAACGTATCAATACGTAAGACTTGATTGCACGCGGAATTAATATCTATAATATCGTACGACAACAGTTGCTAATTACAACTCTAAAGCGCGCGTATATCGCCGTCGCCGATAAGCGCGACAGGATCGTCGTCGCCTTGTGTTGTACCGTTGTAATCGTTTATCGGATGATAGTCCAAGTTTGAAATAGGACAGTGGCGGGCCGTATTGCCGTTCTTAGGCCCGGCTGCCTACGCATGCCGCGGGCTGCAAACCGTTACAACACGACTCTATCTAGCATACAGCTAGAACGGTGTAAAAATATATCGGGCCGCCGTCACCTCGCGCGATTCGCGGAGTCCTCTTCTTCCAGCCGAGGAAAAAATAGGTCGGACACCTTTTCCCTCGTTTAGGATTAGATTGTGACTAATCGCGGCTAACTGCGGAACGGAGCACCGGTCTGCGACGCTGGAATATGCTTATATTTCCGATACATTGATAATTTGTCATCTATCTCGCGACATAGATAGACAGCGATTTTTTAAGAAGCCTCCTGACCGCGGTTATCCTAACTGATGACATCAGAAGCGAGAAAAGGTGTGCCCAAGATCTCTGCGAACTAAAAAGTCATAAAGTAAGTGTTGTTTCTTGAATATATCTTTTTATTTCGACGTACTCTGCAGAGAGATTTCGGGCAGGTATTTCCGCGTTTCTGAAATTATCAATCAAGAGTTTCACGGTGAGTCAGGAGCCTCAATAAATTAAATAATTTAATCTTATTTTATCTTAAGAAATACATTGTTACAATCTCGAAACATCGCGTACAAAAGTATCAAAATTGAAATTTGACGAAAAGTGAATATTTCACGGGATACTTTATATTTTATTCCAATGTAGTTCTGATGCGGAATACGCCATTCGTATGGAACACATCTCGCGAGGTATTTATTCTTAAAAAATCCTTATTTTTAATTACCGTTAACTCACTCGTTTCGCGCGCAGGAAAACAAATTGCTCGCGAAATTATCACACGTGGCCTCTGCCACCTCACGGCTATAATGTACGCTAAACAGTCCTATTAAACATATTTTCGGTGTATCCACTTTGGCGAGCGAGGTAAACTCGATGGCTGTTGCACGATCGTGCCAAATTTCGTGGGGCAATTTAGTTCGTGCCAAATTAACGCGCCATAAGCCATGAGACATAATTCTTAACTGTACGTCACGCGCGCAAACATTTTGAAAGGATATAGAAACACATTTCCTGTATAATTCACACATAGATTCATATAAACGGAACCGTGTATGACGTAAAAGAGTGAAATCGTTTAAGACTGTCGACGTGCAACAACAACACACCTGGAGCTCGATTCTTGACGGTATGCGAATGAGATACGCATGCGAAAATGTATAGTTCACGTTGCGTATACTGTAGATTTTCGCATACGTATCTCATCCGTACACCGTCAAGAATCGGGCCCCAGATCGATAAAAAGAGCAGACGAACTAATGTTTGTTATTGTTTAAACGCGGGAATCTCGAGTATGTTAAGACTTGGATTGCAAGAGTCGCGTGTTGTCGTTGGACAGAAGCATGTGGTTACATACGTGGCTGACGAAATGAACGAATGCCGATCGTACGTGTAACTTTGGAGCGTGAGAATACCAGAAACAGATGCTAAGAATAAATAAGCGCACGACAGAGTCGTTTCTAAAATCATCCCGGCTAGATTCCACTCTGTTTCACAAATGCAGCAGCTCGCGACGGTTCGTAGGATCTTTTTTCCCGTCGTATTCTCAGAAATACATCGGTCGGTTCGGTGACGCTTACGCTAATAGCGGTCAAGTTCGCTTTAGCGTAACACGGCGTCCGTGCGGCTTGTGACAGAGACGGATGACATGTTATTTTGCGCCGGGAGAATTTTCGGGAACACGGCGGGGTCGGTATGTTATGCATACTTATCCAACAGGAAACAAGTGTGTCGGTACTAATAAATAAGCGCGCTGCTCAAAATAATCAGTTCACATTGAATGAACGGCTTTCGGACTAAAAGTAAGGGTAAGACAGTATATGTTTACTTGGAGATTGATATACTAAGAGAAATATTCGATACTTTAAATATCTAAAAGATGCTGCCAGCGTTTGAAGAAGCGATCCCCTGATTGTCTTGAGCAGTACGGATAATATAGTGCTTAAGAAAAAAGATCTTATATTTTTCTTTCTTTGAAAAGTAACATACATCTCAAATAAATTTGTAGCAAAGTCCTCTGAAAAAATAGTTATCGTACGTTACATATCCGAAACGTTGATACCGCTCACGTTCAACACAGTAGAAATATAAATTTTAATACATAAATTCGAGAATTTAAGCGGCACTTTAGAGAAATCATACTTTTTAGAGCGTTATCGTTGAATTGAATCGTTCTTTTGTCAATAATCTTAACGACGCATCATTAGGTAAACAATGAAGGTATCTGCCACGTCAAAACGAGGCATTTTGTATCATGTACTAGAAATAGAACATTATCTATTTCTCTCTTTTACTATATTTGTGAAAAAATTGTGTTTTATGGTTAATTATACTTAAGTAGGCCGACGATAAAATATTTTTCCTCCAAAAATGGATATAAAAAGTTAGATATATATATCAGACAGTTAAGTCAAATACGCCACGCACACAATAAATTTACCATTAAAAAAGTACTCGGTAAAAGTGCCAGAAAGTTTCGTGTTACAAAACCTTCATTATGAAAATTCAGTCATAGTACACATAATTCGTTTTTTAAAGTCTTATCATTAAAATATTACAATTACAAAATTACAATATTATCTCATTACTGTAGTAAAATGTATACAAAGGAAAGACAAGATGTGGCACAGTCCTTATCACAAACTATAATTTCGATTTTACTTTGAAAATCGGCAGTACTTTCTGACTGACATATGAAAATCCAGCGTAAGTATTCGCTCGCAAGTCGATAATAAAATGACTCTATATTAGTATTGTGCCGTTTCTTATCGAACAATTGTTGCAAGTACTCGAGTACTTCGTCGTTATCATAAATATAGCATAAATAATATTTGCCGTTTTAGAAATTGGCGTTTTTCCTTGTAATGGCAATCAAACGATTCGTTGAATTCTAGATGGCAAGTAGCTGAAGTAGATATGACGAATTATACAATCATTGAAATCACTCCTACAAGTCTTTAAGCGTCGAAACTGTAAAAACCTCGATAAAACAAATGCAATACTGCGTCAAGTCAGTGTGCGGTATGCTGTAGCGATAACAAAATTCTTCCACGAAGAAACGCTTAAAGGTATAAGAGACGACCAGACTGATGACATTGTAATTGTCGTTTCGCAAGCCGAGTATCGTGATCGCAAGTATCTGTAACACGACAGCGATGTCGGTTAGAAGACGGAATTTTCGTAGTTGACTCTCCTTTTGTTTTACGGCGAACGGAAACAATATTGGTATTGTACCGAGAAACAGTAACAGCAGACGGATATTGTCATCTATCTGATATGCGCTCAATATACCAGATGTCAATAATGCCAGAGGAACAATTTCAATGCTGTAGGAGTACCAGTCGTAAAAACTGCGAAAGCATCTCGCTGTGGGTGTCGACGCCGAGGTGAATGGTACACCTGAAAATATTAAAGCTCTGTAAGAGGGAGAAGTTATAAATCAAACAAAATATATGTATATATACAGTAAGTCATATGCACAACACATTCAAATTGAACATTGGAAGGATACAAGATTCAATGTTATAACTGTGCTGTAGTTTATACAGAAAAACAGTGTATGCAAACAAATTATAATTTGATCACATGACCATACTATCTATTATTAAATTGTAATCACCTTGTTGGAACATGTAAGAGATGATATTCTATGTAAGCACGCAATGTTCTGACAGATATTTTGGTGCTCGTTAAAACTCACAGCAGATGTAAAGAATCTAATACCATTGCAAAGGCATGTGCAGAAACACTTTGACAAATGTGTGCATGGCAATTTCTAAGTTGTTAACTACTTGTGCATAAAATGACCTAATAGTAGAAACAGCTATTGAATATTTCATAATTTAGAGTATCACCTATTCTGAAAACTACTACAAAACAGAATAAGAGAAAAGATATTATACAGAAATTTCTATATAAATCTGTAAAACAATATAAAATTTTAAACTGTACAATTTAATATGACAAACTAAAATATTAAACAAATTATATTTTATCAGAAATATATTTATTCTGTTAAAATAATTCCTCACTTGTTCCAACGGTAGTGTATAATTTGTACAAATTACCATAAATCCATAATGTTGGTAAACGGAAAACATCTTCCTCTTCCATTGTGTGCTGATTTAGACACAAAAAATAAATACCACGTGTGGCCATGTGTCATTTTGTATCAACCGTTCCTTGTTGTACCCCCCACCCCCCATTTAGTTATGACATGGAATCTTGGGTGGTCCATACCTATAAGTTATTACGTCTTGAACAAAGGAGACATTGATGGAAAGAAAAGGATCATTAAAGAAAGATGCATCTTTGAGTAATTTATAAACAAAACATGTAACTTATAAGCAACATTAAGAAGATAGTTATTATAAAATAATAACAATCAATGATAGCAACTGCAATTGAAAATAAATTGAAATCAAAGCTTTTCAGATCAGTTGACTTCAATATCTCAATAGACAGCTGTGTTTCTTTGCAACAGAAGCAACAGGTAAACGCGTATGCAGACACGAGTCCTCACCAAATCTGAAGATTCCCAAGATCGAGTGCATGAAGAGAATGCGGAAAGCACTCAGGCACCACGTAGTTGGCAAGACCTTCGCCCGGTAAGGCTCGGCAAGATGCCTCATGCATACCGCGGTCACCAGCAGTTTCACGAAATGCGCCACCGCACTGCCCGCGTTCACCATGATCACCGCCTCGTCGCGAGCTTCGTCGCTCCTCGAAATAATCCGTATTCTCCCGCTCGAGGATGATCAACGGAGTTTCCCATTCGAATCTCCGCCGTCGTCGTGCGTTGCAGTATTTCAGAACGGTCGCTCGATTCCGGGTCTCACCTCTTCACTTGTAACTCCGATCCAATCGAGCGGAAGTAGAAACACATGGCGCCAATCGAACTGATGTTATGGATAAGATTGTGCGGCTTCGAAATAATCGAGTAATGGCTCGCGAAATTTCGCACATGGTGAGCCGGAACGAGGAATTCAGCGATGTATTCTACGAAGTAAGAAAGACTACATCACATACTTGATTGCAATTCAGAAGACACATACAAAAAGTATAGTACATACACATACTCGAATGACTCGAAGAGAAAAGGCGATGCACTCGTCTCGCTTCACCGGAAACAATAGGTTCGCGATGGCGCACTGATTGGCGCGTTGATTGACGTTCCGTGTGTATCAGCCACAAAGCTTGTGCTTTTTGCTTCCTTTCTCTTTATCTCTTTCTAACTAAAACCTTGAACCATTCATTAGAAAAAGATAAAGAATAAGAAATAGGAAACGAAGAGCACATTGTAGATCGGACTTAAGAGTTCGCGAGTTCACTAGCGGAATAACAATCGTACACGTGTGTTCCACGCGTGCTGCGGCGATGAATGAATGAGGTAAAAGGGGAACGATGAGTCGTGCTCGATTTGCCCTTTTATTGTCATTCTAGATCCGCACGTGTTTCCGCACGCGAATCCGCATGCATCAATATTCAGGGATCCGTATGATGCGTTCAAGTTTCGCAATAAACGCACAACAGCATGGAAGAGAAGCCAACACTCACGAGAAAGAGACTGAATTACGAAAACAAGGTCATCCTGGCGCCGATGGTGCGAATCGGTACGCTTCCGATGCGTCTACTTGCTTTGGATTATGGCGCGGATATAGTTTACACCGAGGAACTGATCGATTGGAAGTTGCTTCGTTCGATCCGTCGAGAAAACGGTGAGCTCGTTTTCTTTCGCTTTCGAGAATTAGAACGTTTGCGTTGAATTTGGGATGGACTTTTGAGTAAAGTCTTATAATTCCTCTGAAATTATTTGTTCTAACCTCGAACCTCTAACATAACCCTAACCTAACTTCGCTCTAACCTGTCTTTGAGTATTCTGTTTATTCTCGGATTAGTAAATTATGATTTAATTATGATTTATGATATTCTACGTGTAGACAACGTTAATTATGCATGAGATATCGTCTATATTGATAATGAGTAATCTATGGATGTTGTTCAAAGAACATATGGCTCTCTCTCTCTCTTCCCAGATAATATTAAACCTCTAAGCGTCTTAACATTTTAAAACATTTAAAAAGTACCTCAACAAATAACATGTTTTTAGAGTAACTATGCTGTCACATAGTTAAATTTATCATATCTGTCACATAATAAAATGAATCTTATGTAATTTGTAATATCTTATGTAATTATGTCTTTTGTATCTCTTTTAAACATTATATTTGCTGATTCATAATGGGATTTGTGCATAAATGTTTCTAATTATTTTTTTTACAATTTAGAATAAACTAATGTAAAATCTAATAATTTTGTTTCAAAACTATGATATCAGTTGTTTATATTAACAGTTTGTTTTAATGTTTGATCAATAAATTTGTGTAAATGAGTGAAAGTTATTCTAATCTTAAATGACTTATAATTAGAACTATTACCTTACACACATCACACAGACAATATGTAAACGACCAGCATAGATATAATCTCAAAATCTGTGGCATGCTCTGACTTATTCGTCGTTTACTTAATTCGAATTATTTACTCAATGCTTTATTTTCAGATGTCCTAGGCACTATCGATTATATCGACAAAACGGATGGCACTGTAGCGTTTCGTACTTGTCCACGCGAACGAGACAATGTGGTGCTCCAGATCGGTACCTCAGATCCAGCAAGGGCGGCCCAGGTCGCCAGTATGGTGGAAAAGGACGTTGCCGGCATCGACGTTAATATGGGCTGCCCCAAGAAATTCTCCATACTTGGCAGAATGGGCGCTGCTCTTCTCACCGAGCCGCAGCGAGCGACCAGTATCTTGCGGAAGCTGATCGAAACTGTGTCTATACCGGTCACTTGTAAGATACGCGTTCTCCCCAATCTGGAGGCGACTCTTCAGCTTTGTGACAACCTCACCTCCACCGGTATCGAGGCCATCGCCGTGCACGGTCGCACGGTCGACGAGAGGCCGCAACACTCGAATCGCAACCATGTTCTCAAACAGATCTCCGATAGACTGCCGATACCGGTTATCGCGAATGGCGGATCCAAAGATATACAAAATCATTCTGATATATTGAGGTAATGTTGAATTTACCGTAAAGTCCTTTTGATTCATTTTATAGAACTGTCGATGTTACAGGTTCAAAGAAGAAACGGGTTGCAGTAGTGTGATGCTAGCTCGCGCAGCCGAATGGAACTGCTCGGTATTTCGTAAGGAAGGTCCGCTCCCAATGGAGGATGTGATAAAATCATATTTAAAGTACGCTGTCGATTGCGACAATTCGCCTTCTAATACGAAATATTGTGTACAGAATATATTGAGGGAGCTGCAGGATTCTCCTTTGGGCAGAAAGTTTCTCGACGCGCAAACGTTAGAACAAATATGGTGAGCTTGTCTCTCTTTGTTCTCCAGATTCTTTCTCCATTTTCTTATTCTTTTTTAATGCATATGATCTCTTCAGTGAGTTGTGGGGCCTGGGTGATTATTGCCGATCTAAAAGGAAAGAGTTCCAAGATAAAGGCTTATTGGGCCGATTTCAAGTAACGCCAGTAACGTTCGACGAGGATACGAAGGACGATTGCATTTCTCAGAAGAGAAAAATTCACGAAGAGGAGGACGTCGCTCTGATGCGTTGTGCCTTTTTGAGAAGCAATTACACGACAGATTCGGAGCTGCCAAAGACCAGATTACTCAAGTGGACCAAGGAGCATCGTAAAAAAATGCCAGTATACGACACTCAACAAAACGGCAAACTTTTCTGTTCTGTAGTTACCGTCGATGGCAGGAAATACGGTTCTTCTTTTTGGTAAATTAAACTCGAGACATTGATCTCTCCTTTTCTTCTGTTCTTCTACATCTTCATAATGTCTTCTTTTTCAGGGAGAAGAATAAAAAATGGGCTGAACAAGGTGCCGCTTTGGTAGGTCTGCATTTTCTAGGAATTATCGACGAAAATAGCCTTACTGTTGGCGGTAACGTTCTTTCGTGATGATATCCGATTTATTCGACTTTTCTACGATGTTGACGAATACTCAATGCAAACATCGCAATATACATATATGTAAATATCATTTTTAACAAATAAATAGTTTTTGTTTGTACTTAATGTTTTAATGCATTTTTTTTACGATCCCTATTACCTAGCTACTTGAAGCAACGCTGTTTCAGCTTCATTACAAGTGAAATAATGTCTTTTAGAGATCCGAAATATATATTTATATCTTTTGGTCTATTTGAAATCCATGAAAGTCAATGTAATTTAATTATTAGATTTTACATTATATATATATATATATATATATATATATATATATATATATATATATATAAAATTAAAAGATGGTATGCTATATATTAAATATCACGTATTAAAATAAAATAAATAATTTAATGTATTCGATTTTAATTTCAAATTTTGTGTATGTGTGTGTGTGTGTGTGTGGAAAAAACTGTTCAATATATTGTCATTCATTTTACGCACTTGGTAATTTAACGCTCGTATTGCGTTACATGATATATCTTAGGATTAAGGACAAAAAGTAATGTGCACATATATATTTCCAATTGAAGAGATATGCCCAACGCATACATACAAAATACATCACAAGCCGTCAATTAGCTTTGACTGTGCATAGAACAATATCGCTAGATTATATTTAAATCAAATATTTAAATGTAATTCTCCCTGAAACCAATGTACATGATTTAATTATTACAATATACAAGCGCGCAAAGAAAATATACAACAATGCTGACACATTCTTTGGTACAATGATCAAGATATAGGCTTCCTAATAAGAGAGATATTGTAAATAACATTTGATTACAATAATGCTCAAGAAGCCAATTTGTACTAATTGTAGTATATTTATGATTATAGATGCGCTTCTCTTCGTAATTGTACCGAGAAACATTGATATTAATATATAATTTACTTGCTCCATAGCTGACACAAATCGTTTAATAAATATAATAACGTGCACTACCAGAGAATTTATCTTTTGTTCATCGTATATTTAAATATATTTCGTGTTCGCAAATTTTGAAATAATCGTAGTTACCTTTGAGATGAGGTAAAAAATATTTGTTAAAATGGAATGAATTTTTTTTGTATCTTGATGAAATACAGTAAAATCATTATCAATGCCTATATTCATATCGGTATCATTATCTATCATTACCTATGGTCTAAAATACGTAATTATGGATTTTGTATTATATATTAGATATTTGAAGCTTCAGCTTTACTATAATATAAATGGTAAAAATGTATTTTTGATTCGTTCTATATCATAACACGCGATAATGTCTTCATTTTCGGAACAACGCCACGATAAATATCATAAATAATGATACCAATCGTCAATACATGCAATATAAGATTTCTCTATTGCGTACTCTTATATAGAATATAAATCTGGTTAAATAGGCCTTCCGATGGTATTGATTAATACATGTCTCATATAATTGTCATCTTATATATCAGTACATACATACATATACATATATATATATTGTTTTAGGTAATTAGGTGTAAATCATGTTTTTATGTAAAACCAGATTAACTGATGTATATATCAGCGTCCGTGAGCCATTATTAATAGAATGGAATTTTGATCGTTAGTGCACATTACATTATACGATATACACAATATATATTAAACGAATACAAAATATTTTAAATATAGAAGTGCCTGTCCTCTCCCGCTTTATCACTCTCGATAATTGATATTACTTGATACAATAATTTCACGTCGTGCTGCATAAAGTGGGAGACAAGCTCGCTAAAATTTACAATATAATTAAAGTTAAATTATATTACGCAATCACATTAAATAAACGTAAAAATCTCCTAATAATCAAGGGAACTCATTCGACTATCGATGCAAAATAACATTTCATGTTAAAAAAATAAAACTATTACGTGATGTGCAAGAACGAAAAACAGTTATATGTTAAATGGTTTGGTCGCTCTGAAAAAGAATCAAATCTGCCGAGAACATATTGAAAAATAACGCAACTTCATTCATATATCTTTTACCAGACTTTGTAAATAAAAACTTTATTATGCCTTGTATGATTTTAATGATGTATAACATTCTCGTCTTACAATAATCCTATTTATTATGCGTATAAGATTACTGTAACTAATAAATACATCAACTGTCATTTGTTACCTTATGATGCGGCATGCGCACAACTAAATTGTACAAAGTAAGAGTTCAGATTAAAACGAAGAGCAGGAGTAACGGTCAATTCAGATCGGAGAAGGATGAAGCGGTGGACAGATAAGCCCCAGCCCCTAGCAGCACCCGCCACCTTGCGCACTACCTTGTCCACCAGTACCTGGTAAACCTCCAGGACTTGTCGGCGAGTGTTGTGGCCCAATCTTAATACCGTTTGCCTGTGCAATTCAATATTCATATTGGTATTTCAAAAATCTCGATTAGATTTCTATAGGCAAAACAATATCATCATAGAACAATAAAAACACAAGATATGAGGAAAAATGCTGAAAGAAGATAATTAAATAATTATAAATTGTCCTTGTGCATCTGTTATTTTTCAGCTTCTGACATGTTAACATGTAAAACCAGAAAGATTTATATTTTATAAATATATTCCTTTAGAATAATTTTAGTGAAAAATAATAAACAAAATTATGGATAGAATTATGTAAACATTAAGTTTACTTTTTACTTGGGTGTATACAAAGTGCACGCAAACTAATAGAAAATATTGCCATACCTCATTATTGATGTCAAAGACTCCTTCCTGGATTTTCTCATATATTTCTTTCGCTGTATTAATGAACGCTTCTTCTACATTGGCTGCAGTCTTAGCACTGGTCTCCATAAAGACTAGACCATGCTCTCGTGCAAAAGCCTCACCTTCTTCTCTCCTTACTTCTCTTCGGTTATCTAAGTCGCTCTTGTTGCCAATCAACATGATAACCATATTGGAATTCGAATGCTGCCTTGCATCTTCTAACCAAGTTGTAAGATGATTAAAGGTTTCTCTACGTGTAATGTCATATACCAATAGAGCTCCGGCTGCTCCACGGTAATATGACCTTGTTATAGAACGAAATGCCTCTTGACCTGCCTATGAGTCATGAAAATGATTAAGAATTGATAGTCAAAGACATGCACAAATCAAGATCCTACTTGTGTAACTTTGAAATAAAATTGTTAAAAAATATGCACAATATATTATATATTTTTATTATCTATTAGTATTATCTATTAGTATCTATTAGTATTAATATGGATTTCCATATTTTTTAATATGGAAATTAATAACAAAGAATGTTTAGTTGAATACTAAACATCTAATTGATAATTATTAGATACATATTTGAAGATAGTTTGAAGATATTATTAATGTTAAAAATGTATAAAATAAATAATTACAGTATCCCATATCTGCAGTTTAATTTGCTTGCTATCAATGGTAATCATACGAGCACCAAACTCAACTCCTATTGTCAAGTCATGGACCGGCTGAAATCTCTTATCCGTAAACTGAAGAAGAAGACAGGACTTTCCAACTCCTATATAAAAATAATGTCATGACATTTGGAATGCTTACATCACAACTCTTGATTGTAGAGTCTCGGTGAAAGTAGTCTACATTCTATTGCGCAAGGATCTTTTTATGCTTGTGCACTCAGTCTTTTACTCTGATGTTTACAAATACTGGTATACATGTAACATATTTACAATGTTACGTTTTACTTAACTTAATCTTATATCTACTATTTAATATAATAATTTTTTCATTCGTAAAGCATGAGCTGTTATTACTTAAAAGAGAAATTAAAACAACACTCTAAGTATATTAATAAATGCAGTACACAAAGTGCGTCTAACGGCGACATAAATAATTCCATAATAAAAGGCACTATGCACGATGTGCTATTTATAGCTGCCAGCGCTGAAATCAACAAGAGAGCTTATCGAATTCTGCAGAACACGCATTATTGAATCAACGATCGCTCTTGTTAGAGCAGCAACAGATCACGATAATGATGCTGAGCAGCAGAAAATCGCGAAAACTTTTGCATCGCAAACGCCAACACGCGTCATACATATTTAAGAGAAGCGAGCGTGACATCGGGATAAAGGACATTTTCGCGATTGGTGCCCGCCCCCATAATGTCGATTTGCTTTTGGCGTTTGCAAATAGGAAGTATCGCGGCATGCGCCAGAACGAAAACAATGGGCTCGTGTTGCAAGTGACGCAGAGAGCGAGCGGGACGAGAAACTCGTTTTGAGATCGTTGCCATAGCGCGATCATACGTCGCGTATTTACCTGTGTCTCCGATAATGATATACTTGAAGAGGTACGCGTACGACATTTTGGGATACGCGCGGCTCGACAAGACTCGCAAACAGTTCTCTTGACGCACCAGGAAACAGAGTTCTCACTTCTTTTTACCGTCTTATCTCTTCTGCTCGAGCATAACGTCACAGAGACACTTCGGTAAGACTCGGCTCGCCTCGCGTTCCCTTCGGCTTTTCGATATTAGTCGTCACTGTCGTCACTGACGTCGCGTGGGGACACGTCGTCGTCGTCGTCGTGCAGTGACGTTAACCGCTGATTGGTCGGGGATAATCGGGCGGAATCGCGGTTGAAACGAACATGGCGTCGCGAGAGGTTTAGGGCCTTTGCACGTAAAAAAATTTTAACTGTCCCGATCTACAATAGGTATAGTAAGCTTTAAGCCTTAAGAAATTGACCAATTACAGTCGATTATTCTTTTCAAATTTGACTGTAATTGGTAAATTTCTTAAAGCTTAGGGCTTAAATCACATATTGGGTGCTTTCCAATTACGTTTTGTGTATTACACAAAACCAGTTTATTGGTTGTATATTATCTTACAAGATATTTTAGATAATATGCGACCAATAAACTGGTTTTGTGTAGGTATGTGTCAAGATGTGTTAAGGGACGTCTACATTGGAAGTAAATAGCAAGAAGTAGGAAGTAAGAATAAGAAATTGACCAACCACAGTCGAATGTGAGAAGAATAATTAACTATGATTGGTCAATTTCTTATTCTTACTTTCTACTTCTTACTGTTTACTTCCAATGTAGACGTCCCTTTAAGCAATTGAAAAGCACCTATTGTAGATCGGGACTAAAGCCTGTTCTACAATACGTCATACGTCGCTGTCGTGTGCGAAGTGCAGCCGATGGGCCAATCAGAGGATTTGTTTTTCGAGATGAGTTCTCCTTATGGCTCCTGCCCACAGGACGCGGTAAAGTTTGCCGCGCGGCGGAAGTTCGTGCGACAGCCAATCAATATGCTGCTTTCCGTAATAACCTTGTAGCTCTCACGGAAAAACAACATATTGATTGGCGTTGCCGCGTTCTGTGTGTAGGAGCCATTATTGGATCATTGACTGCGTTCCGACGTCCGATAGCGACATACGACGTATTGTAGAACGGACCTAAGTCCCGATCCACAATAGAGTAGTAAGCTTTAAGCTTTAAGAAATTGATCAATCACAGTCGATTATTTTCCTCAAATTTGACTGTGATTGGTCAATTTCTTAAAGCTTAAAGCTTACTACACCTATTGTGGATCGGGACTAAGGATGAAGTCCCATGGTATGTATTTTCGCGTAACGCGTAATCGCGTAATCGCGTAACTAATCATATATTTCTATTCTTTTAGAAGTTCCAACAGAAATACTAAATGACTGCGTTCAGCAGAGAAAGCTGCTTTGCAACTGTGTAAAATTCGTAAATCTGATTGGTACATGCTCTTGGATTTAACCAAAATTAAGAGCATAATCCAATTAGATTCACGAATTTTACACAATTGCAAAGCAGCTTTCTTTGCTGAACGCAACCAATGTCGCAATTTATTGGTACGCGCTTACGCGGTACGCGGAAAATATATGCCATGTGACTTCAGCCTATTCCGATGATTTATGCGCGACCACCCTTATCGAGTCGCGAGTTCCGTCCGTTGGCGGCACTGTTCGCCGCCGTTGCCTGGCGTCGCTTCGTTCGCACGCGCGCTGCGTCCGTCGCGCAATTCGGAATTGTTGCAACAAGTACGAGCGCGAACGTAACGGACATTTTTCAGCTGCTTTAGAAAGGTCGGTGGATTTCACGCGAGGAATACGCGCGCGTCGTCCAATCATTCCGATCGTTAATTCGTGAGCGCGCGCGCGGACCACGCCGCCGACTTCGCCGTTTCGCGTGGCAGTAACGACGCAGGAACATCGACAAAGTGTCTGTCCCACGTAAAAGTGTGCGAATTCGAGCGAGGGAGGCCTCGACAAATACAGGTAACGCGAGGAGTCTTCTCTCGGGTCATCGGGCGAAAAAAATCGGCTCGATTGTGAACAACGATTGACCTAATCGGTGTCGGCCCCCTCGCGCGAGTCTCGGCTCGTCCGCACGAGCATTGATTTGTTTAACAAATGTCGCCTCTCTTTGCCGTCAAATTCAGCCGAGGGGTTCGATTGTATTCCCGTCCAAGGCCGATTTTTTTCCTGCCCACTTGTCAACACTGGCATTTGTTGGTAACCTTATTTTCACAGAATTCGATCCTAACTTGTCAAACTAACCTTTCACTCTGAGGTATAGCTCAGACTCAGTACTTCAGTATGATCTTGATTGTTCGTTTGAATACGCATATGAACGTAAGCGGTTCTAAAATATTGTATTCTTACAGAGTGAAAAACTAGATCTCTCTGTGTAGCTGTCAACATGACATGTAAACAGAGCAGATCAATATTTAGTTCATATCAGGTATTCTTACATTTTACAAGTAGACTATCAATAAAGAGTTTATATGATGTCGTGATGCAATATATATAATATATATATGTAGAATAATTGCTTTCAAGCATAAGATATAACCTATATCTTTGATGAAAGTAGCATTGGGAACCACCTGTTATATTCAATTGTAGATTGTCTAAAAGCTAATAATTCATGTATTAAATATAGGACTTTCACACAGAGTTTTTATTCAATCTGAATTCAGCTTAACTTACTTAGGAGATCTGTTGATACATAAATAATTGTTTTGGTGTCTTTTTATAGATTAAAGAAATGCATCGAAGAAGATAACAAATCTGGAAAACAGGATCATGGCGAATAGAAGAGAGAAGCCTGTAGGCTTTGTGAGTAGAATTATTGCATCTTAATGCATAACTAGATTTAAGTCAGTAAGAGCATTTCACAATGCTCCAAGGTTTAGTTAAGGATCTAGCAAATTAGAAGCAAGAATCATTCGAGAAGTTAGATACAATTCAATGTAATGCACTTCCATCATTTCCGAATTGAAGACTGTAATAATCATTTCCGGATTGTAGACTGTAATAATAATATGTATAAACTAATATGTATATGTAGAAATATCAGCCACATAATTCTGGAATGACAGTTACTGTTTCTAATTTTGGAATGCAATGTACTGAGCGACTCCTAAGGCTTCTAACTAGCAATACATTCCAATGTGATACACACCTTTCTGCGCATCTTATCTCGATGTATTTCGCGGCGATAATCGGTATCAGTCGTTTACTATTAGCTTAGTTGCGACAGTTGTCACGCACATTGTCAGTAGAACCGAGGCGCGGTCGAACGCGTTGCGGATTTTCGTTTTTCTTCTCCGAGTTGTCGTGTATTATCGCATCGTGGATTAATGAACGTCATTTGAGTGATTTCCACGATGCAGCTTGAGTAAATTCGTGAAGTAAAACGTGCGCGTCGATGACGTGATTGTAAAGCAAACTTTGAAAGAGAGTGATTCAGTGTGAACTATGTCAGCCATAGAGAGAAGAAAGACCTGGTATCGTATGACTGATGCCGGTGGCAAGGTAAAGATCGCTTTTTCGGATTCATCTCGGCTTTCGGGAAGCAGCCGTATTGCTAAAATTGCTAAGTTGTCGACGTAGCGTGAGTTTGATAAAGTCGTACTGTGCAATGGCAAATCTAAAAAAAGTGACCAAAATTTGATTCGAAAATATCATGAAAGCGCATCAAAAAGATGTGTGGAAAGCGCACATATTTTTGTTTAATGATAAAGAACGTTAGAAACGTGTCAAAAGACTTTCAATGAGGATGATGCGCCTGAAGCGTATCATTCTTGTGGTAAGAGATAAAACATGTAACGTATGTAGGAATTCCATAGTGATACGCTATAATACGTGGGCATAACGTCGAGTTTCCTGTTGTATTATCGTATTTGTCGTAGTTTGTGTTGGCGACTTTTGTGTCGCGCATAAGCATCACCAGAAGCATTCAAAGTGCCACCGTTTCACATTCGCGTAAAACGATATTTTTCGCTCCGCCGCATTCGACGCGAATCTCTCATTTCCGTACTCGTCTTTCGTCCCAATTCGCACTTAATATCACACCTTTGCCTCTCTTTCTACGACACTCGTTATCGCCTGATTTGAATTCCGATAACGTCGCTTTTTATGCGATACTCATGTTACTGTCGTTCGTTATTTATCAGCTTCATTTCGTTATTTTCAGCGGCCTCGGATTTCCGTGGCCTTAACACGGGAAAAAAATTTCAGTTCGTCCGATAAAATGGCGACCACACGAAAACTCAATGATGAGGGACGATATCTCTTATCGCGACTTGAAAAACTCAGTTCAGATAACTGAGAACAATTGACTGAGTAGAGATCTCCTACAGAGGAATCTTTTTCTTTTTACACAGAGAAAAATACACGCTGCATTCAAGCACATAATAAATATTACTTGTTTCAAATATTTCATAAATTTACATATCCGCAAATTTGTTCATGAATTTAAACATCGGATTTATTCAAAATAGATTGTGAGTCCAAGCAAGTTTAGTATTTCAATCAAGAATATCAAGCTAAAAATTCAGTTTACTTACCACATAGAACCGAATCAACTTTTTTTTACGAAGTTTTGTAATATTCTTGTAAAGTAAATAAATTTTCCTTTTAAATATATGATAATAAATTTCTTTAAAATTCGCGGCGAGCATATTTTTTACAAAGAAAAAATTCTACTTGGAAATATATCTGCGGGATATAAAGTTTATTTCTCTGTGAAATATAAATATAAAGTGAAATATAAAATGAAATATAAAGTGAAATATAAAGTTTATTTCTGTGAATAAACTTTGTATTTCACGAATGAATTTTTAAATATTTTTTTCTTAATGTATTATCAAGAAAATATTCTTTGTTAAAGATAATCATTACTTAAAAGAAGGAAAATAATTGTTTTTCATAGCAAAGTAGTACAATCGATTTTTCGTCTGGTCCTCGAATCACAAAAAATCAGTTACGCAAGCAGAGTTTTTTTCCACGCAATACGAGAGTCGCGTCGAGCCGCAAAAAAAAAAAAATGATGAGAGAACACGCGTGATCGTGATGTGACACGTTTCGCGAGTGCGTGAATCGCGTGAAAAATGGAAAAAGAAAAGCGACGCAACTTGTGGGAATTGCTGCGTTGATGCGACGAGTAATGCGGCCTTTGATAAAGAATGATATGCGCATGTAGCATTCGATAACGCGAACAC